CGCGCCACAACGGCGTGCACTTTTTCGAGATCTGAACTTCCAAAAGTGGTCCGAGAATTGTGTGTTTTGTACATTTTGACTTCGAAATGTGCTTCGCGCCACAACAGCATGCACTTTTTCGACATCTCAACTGCCAAAAGTGGTCCGGAGCTGGTGTGGTTTCTACATTTTGACTTCGAAATGTGCTTCGCGCCACAACGGCGTGCACTTTTTCGACATCTCAACTGCCAAAAGTGGTCCGGAGCTGGTGTGGTTTCTACATTTTGACTTCGAAATGTGCTTCGTGCCACAACGGCGTGCACTTTTTCATCTCTGATCTGGCCAGCTGGCTCCGCACCCGCTGCTTTAGCGAGCCTACTTTTCGACCCTCCGGAGCCCCAAATCATTGGGAAAACACAGTGTTTCGCGACTTTCCTACCTTTTCACGCATCTGCATCTTCTTTCTTCTTATAAAGTACTTTAGTGAACCAGGGAGGTTTAGTGAATGGGGGAGTTTGAAAGACAGGAGAATACGATGAGTTATCATCGGTATAATGCTATCAGCAGAAATTTGGAATATGAAGGGTTACAATGGGTATAAATTCTTTACCAAGAATGGGGAATATGATGGATTATGATGGGTGCAAATTAAAGGTTCTTTACCAGAAATAAGGACGACATATGATGATGTATTATGTTGGGTAAGGAATATGATGGGCGATGATAGGTATGAAATATAGGGCTATAAAACAAAACCTATTCCCAACATCCCCAGCTCAGCAATCTTGTCGCGTGGCATCTTCAAACCTGGACAACTTCAATCCTGACAAAATGGAAATGGTCAGGCCCTCAATTTTTCTGCCGCTGCGATCAGAGTGATGATCCAACTAGAATCAGGCAGCCATGACCCTGCCATGAGAAACTACGGTCTAATCATCTTTCATTCCGTTTTCCTCAGCCTTCGTTTTGGTGTAGTACTTGGAGCCATCCGGGCTGATGTAGAGGGAGAAGGGTTTGCCCGAAGTATTCTTGTTTTTCAGCACCACCTGGGCGATTGGGTACTGTAAAATATAAACAACAGTATATGTTTATCAGACAAGTTGTCACATACACATGTTGAATCTACAGAATGTTTTCCAAATTATAAGAAAAGGCCATATGTGGGTGTGAGCCCCTGACCTTCCAACCATTTTTCGTTTTGCGCTCGGACACGATGGTGGCAGGTGCTCTGCTGCTTGCCTTTGGGGCTGGGATCTCCTCCTCAGGTGACCCAGGTGTTTCAGCGGTCTTGGCAACCTTGCTGTTCTTGCGCTGCAAACTGGAAGCAGGGCGTTTGAGGCTGCTGGTCTTGAGGTCTGCTTTGCTTGCTGGCCTTTTCATTGCTGGGACCTCCTGTGGTTCTGTCTCGCCTTCATCCTCATTTTCTCCCTGCTCCTTGTCATCGTCGTTTTCCTCTTCCTGCGCATCTTCACCTGCCTTTGGTTTGGCCCCCCCCGCATCACTCCCACGCGAGCGACCACGGCCACGGCCACGCCCTCGTGCACGTCGTGATGCTGGTTTTTTCAACACACTGGCTGTGTCTGGCTTGGGCTCGGCATCTGACTCAACTTGAACCTCAGCCTGCTTCGGAGTAGAGGAAGTTGCATCAGGGGAATGGAAAGGTCTCTGGTTGGCAGGGCTTGTCGGCGAAGTGTGGGTTTGTGCTGGCTGCCGCTCAGCTATGCGAACGGAAAGGGTTGCGCGGATACGCTCTGCCACCCCCAAAGCACTCCCAGGTGCAAGGGAATCATACATGGCGAGAGGCTAAAGTTAGCCAAGATTGAACGCAGCAAAACCTGGAGCCGTAATGTTAAATACCCATCTAAATCTTCGAATTTGTCAGTCGAATTTTCTGAAGATGAGTAGAACGTTGCCATGATTTACTTTTGGTTCAGATGCACACTGTAAACTGTGACTCTTGTCATGTGCCCCCTTGCATTGCATTACTGTCAGTAACAAAAGCTCCAAAAAGAATCACAGACTGCCGTTTGACAGCCAGAGAGCGACACAATCGAATGCCTGCAGCAAGGCCAAAACCTTGCAAAGATGATGGCGTTGCACCGTTCGGGCGCCCATCCAGAGCGCTTGGTCAGAAAACAGCTTGGGTTTCTAGTATTCAAAGCCCAAAATATTGATCTTGGTAAAGCGGCGAAATGCCTCTCCAAGTCTATTTGTTTTTCTGCCTAAAAAATCGTGGTTAGATTTGGCTCGAAAGGTTTGATTGTTTTTCCATTGCCCCCCAAGCAGAATCAAAATTTGACCCAACTCTATGAGACAGGCTAGCAGTCGCAACCTCCCAAACAGAATGAAATAGAATTTGAATGCAGACGGTGTTTTCCCCCAATGACAAATTTTGTGGATGAAAATGTCTGGCTTGTCCAGCCTGAGCGAGTTGGGTTTCATACAAATGTCGACAGGGAGTTCGCCTCCCAACAATTGGAACTCCCCAAGGCCAAGCTCACTTCGCCAGCGTGTCCTCACGAGACCTGTGAGGAGAGATCGGTTGGGGAGATTCTGGATCCCTGACCATGGGAAAAAAAGGTCGATATTTAATTTAAAGAAAAACAATCCTCCGACCCCATTAGAACAACAAGGGGGTGCGCACCAGTATGCATTTGGAAAACCAAAAGAATGTGGAGAGCGAGTCTAACAAGTGAATTCTTCACATCACCGTCAACATGCCGATAGTCATCATCACCTTTATCATACCGGCAATCAGCATTTCATCATCATACCAACATTCACCGTCATCACCACCATCAACATACCAAGAATTACCATTATCATCACAGCCATCATCATGCCAACATTTACCACCACCATCACCATCACGATGCCAACAATCACCGCAATCATCATAACCATCAGAATCAGAATAATCATCATCATCGTCGTCATCATCATCATCATTATCACTTCCAAAGCAAGGCTCTGTCATTGCTGGTCACGTTCTGGCACCTCAAAGGTAGCGCTATAATGTGCCAATACTGATACCCTATGGTGATAACGGCCGTTTGTGACAGCCAAGACGATGATGACGATGATGATAATGGTGGTATGTGGCCAAACTGATCCGACTAAAAATGGTCAAACCAATGAAGGAATTGCCAGATAAATACTTGAGCTGCGGAGATTGTGGATAAACATGATTTTGAAACTACGAGTTGAATAAAAATACAGGATAACAATCGGACCTTTAAAACTACTTTCAATATTTATTTGGCAATGGCAATGATCTTTTTGAAGATCTCAAGGGCAAGAACCTATTGCCTAAGACCACCACAACAACAACAAAACAACAAAAGAACGACGACGATGATGATGACGACGACGACGACCACGACGGCGACGACGACGACAACTACGACGACGACCACAAAGACGACGACAACGACAACAACAACAACAACAACCACCACCAACAACAACAACAACACCAGCAGCAGCAGCAGCAGGAGCAGCAGCAGCAGCAGCAACAGCAACAAACAACAATAACAATAACAAGAACCAGAATAAGAACAACAAAAACACAACAGCAACCACCACCACACAACCAGAACAACCACAACCACAAGGACCAGCACAACCACAAGCACAACCAACAACAACCACAACGACAAGCACAACAACAACCACAACCAACAACAACCACAGCCAGAACCACAACCACAACCACAACAAAACCAACACCCATGACCACAACAACGCCAACAACGACAGCAACCACCAAAGCAAGAACATCACCACACCCACCGTGAAAAAACAGCAAAGCCATGATCAGCTGCAAGAGCAGCAGCAGCAGCAACAACAACAACAACAACAGCAGCAGCAGCAGCAGCAACCAAGAACCCACATCCAAGAACAGTCACAGCAGCAACATCAACAGCAGTTACAGCTGCACAGCATCAGAGCAACAACGAAAACAACAAGCAGAAACGCCCAACAGGACAAATACTGACTACCAAACCAGAAGCACCAACAAGGAACATATTTTCAATGTTTCATATCCTCAAAAATCCAAAGCAGAGCTTGTTTCATGCCAATCGACTAACAATATCAATAATGTAGAAATGGTGTTGTATAATATAGCATATTAATTAAACTATATTCTTGTAACCGAATCTTAACAATAAATAGCATTACCGGCAATAGACAAATACCATTTTAAACTAAACCTGAAGTTGAAACAATCTTCCCCTGACTAAAAACAAAAAATGGCAGCGATAGAAACTCATTTGGAATTCTAATGGTTTTGCTGTCCCCAGGTCTGGCGGTTGAGTCCTGACTAACCCCTCAGCTTTTTTTTGAAAATACAGTAGGAAACCATTGAAACTGTTGTGAATGTGAAGTTTGGCAAATTTGGTCCGCTGCCCAAATTTATGAATATTACTTGGATTTGGTTTGCTGAGACACCCTGTGGCCTTTGTTAACCATTGCTGCTTGCCACCCCCTACTATACAGGCTGGTCCGCTGTTCGCTTTTGCTAAGAAGGTTGTACTGACGCTAGCCATCGCAACCATGGTGATAAATCATGAAAAGTCAAAAGGCTGTGGCTGGCGTGGGGCTTGAAATGCGCTCTGTATAGTGATCTTAAACTTAGTGACTTAGTGAATTAAAGCATCTATCCTGTTGGCAGTCTCTCCGGTTTTGAACAATCTTTGAGAAACGCCTATGTCTGATGCTATTTGGCATGTGAACTTTGGAACTTTGGCATGCTTTGTGTTATCTTCTCTGTGCGGAAAAAGGAAATCAAACAACTATCGAACAACTTAATTAAGACTTTTTACAGCAGCTGACTTAGACAAGCCATGACAAACCAGTCAATATCCCTTGGGGGTTCAAGTTTCGAAAACCATCTGGTATTACTATTTAGTTCAACTGTGGCAAGGAATGAACAGGGCCTGCAACGGCTTGTCCTTGGTCAACTGGATTGCTCGTGAAAGAACAACGTAGGGTTTCTGCACCTTGAGCGTGCCACCGATCTTCTCGAATCGAAAGCGAAAGCAAACCACCAGGGCCGGAGAGCTCTCCAAGGAATCCATACATCGACTGAAGACATTCTTGCCACTGGCCTTTTCCTCCTTACCGGATGGGTTTTTCATGGGCTTGAAAATCTGAGGGCTCCGGACTGTCACTTCGAAGCCGTCGAGTTCCTCTTCCGACTCTTCCTTGCGCTTGACATCCAAGTAGCTTACCTTGTGTGTGGTGATCCTTTTGGTTTTTTCCAAAGCCACAAGCAGCTTGTACAACGTCATGACGGACACTGAAGCAGCATCAGCACGCAAGGTAGAATCGTCCACTTGGACCAGTGACTTGTCTGAAGTCACATTCCACTTGACTCCTGGACCAGGGTCGGTGGTGGCCACGTAGCCCCCTGTTCCAAATCCTCCAATTTGGAGGTGTTTGGTGAGCGATTTGTCCTTCTTGGCAAGCAGAAACAGCTTCCCACTCTCACAGCGAATGACCTCCACATCTTGAATCTCAGAAGGGACCTGCTCAGCAATCGTCTCTGTCTCCTTCAACTTGTCCAAGTTCTCGAACTCCACAAGGGCCTCCGTTGGGTTGCGATCATCTTGTATTGGCATCGGGTCAGCTCCATCTTCTTCTCCCTGTGTGTGGCTGCGGCTGGAGCCTTGACGCCGTTGCATGATGTTCGCCAGCAGCTTTTCATAGTTCTTCTCATGATCGTCTTTCAAAGCCTGGTATTCCTCGGTGATGGTTCCGCCTTGAGCTTTCCAATACCGGTCCTCGTCCGGCTTGATGATGATCCTTGCACCCTCTCGGGCGCAAACCTCGAGCTTCAAACGGTCCACTGCACCGCTGGCAATCGCAGCTCCAGGGACTCTGTCCATTTCGGCTTGAGTCAGTTGAGGAGCATCTGCCTTGAATGCCAGACCTGGCATTTCAAATTTCTTGTCAAGCCAGTAGTCGGTAAGTGCACACTCCAACCTGGCTTTTCCGAACTCCACGTCCTCAATGAAGGACAAGCTCATGTAGTGCAGCTTGGAAGGGTCCAGGTTGCCAATCTTCTCGCCCTTCATTTTCAAGTCCATGACCTTGGGCCAAAAAACATTGCAACAGCCCCCTAAAGTACAGAAAGCATATTGAAAAAAGCAACATCCCAAACTGGAAACAAATCGCCTTTGGCAATGAATGTGCGCCAAGAAACTGCTGATCCAACATCTTCCACATACCCCGTGACATTGCAGACCAGAACAGGTCCCTTCAGATTCTCCCTTCCAGTCGACAGCACTGATCGCAATAGAGCCACATGCTTCCCAGGGCCTTTTTGGGCCCGAACTTGCTCTGGAGAAGGGGTGGCACGTTCTGCCAAACGAATGTCTGAATCCGACTGCAAGGATTCCGGCACAAGGAGGTCACGCTGCCTTGGCAAAAGAACTTGAGTATTGTCCAGGGGCCGCCCGGCCACAGCAAGCTCTGAATTCTGCAAAAGAAAGTTCTCTGCCATGGCTTGGAAGTTCACTACAAACCTGCCTGCTGACCATCTCCTGCAAGGTATAAACCTCACCATCAAAACGCACAGAAAAGTTAGTGTTTAAATTTATCAAATTGTTTTGATTAACTTAAGCATACTTTCTTTTTGAACAAGTAGAGGTAAGTATTATGCGATGAGTTTATTTTTCGATTCAGGTTTGATGGACCTGGAGCAATTTACTCTTCAAAGTTCAGGGTCAACTTATTTGACAAACATAAGAAAAACACAAATTTTTGAAATCCAAATGGTCCTGAATGAACACCTCGAATCCTGGGCAGCAGGGACGTCAAAGTTCACGATGAACCGATCATCACAATGTTGTTGAAGAGCCCAGAGACACTGCTGCACAGCTGCCTCTTCATCTGCAAGTCCACGTTTGCATGAATGGCGAGCGACATCCGGCATCTCCAACAAGGAGATGTTCATCTTCACGTTGAGGTCATTCAGGAAAGCCAAGCACCGGCAAATGCTTTGCACATTCTCCTTGGACTTGGTCTTCGGGATGTTCATGTCGGCCATGCCAATGATGTGGCAGTCTTGCAATTGAACGTTGTGCAGGTTCGCCTGCGCGGTGAGTAGAAAATACACCAACTCTATGCTTCGCCTTTTGCAAAACGAATAAGTTTGATCATTGAGTCCCGCACAAAACAAATGAAAGTTAAGAAAATTGAATTTCGTTGAGATAACAAGGATTGATGAACAATAAACTGTAACTTTCATTGAGAATTAAGACCCCATTTTTTGCACCCCGGACCATGTAGTTGAGATACTCCATCACATGCGGCTTGATGACGTCGCCGTTGTCCACCTTGATGACCCTGAGATACCGGTTCATGTAGGACGTCACAGCTTTCTGGCCAATCTCACTTTGCTCCTGACGCCAAGCAACATCCTTCTTGTGCTGCAGCATGGCCAGTTTCTGTGGTGCAGCTTCAACCTGTTTGAGGGCCAGGTGGTCCTGGGCCAAAGCTTTGACAAAGAACTGCCACTTTGCCTGCCGAACTTGGACTCTCTGGGTTTCAACTTCCATGCAAGCCTCCTCCTCTTGTTGCTGCAGCTTCGCTTGCGCTGTGGCCCGCTCGCTAGCCAGCATGCTAACACAGAAACTCTTTGGCCTACGTGTCAACAGCTCATCCAGATCTTCATCAAGAAAATCTGTCGAAACCAATTTCTTCTCCTTGTCAACGAGTTGCTTCTCACCACAAGTTGCAGCGACATGGTCACGTAACTGGCCCCACAGCGCAAACATATTGCGCAAACGAATCAGCTCTTCCTCCTTCTTTCTGTATTTCTTTTTCATAGCTGAATCAGCAAGGGCGGAATCTTTCTGAAAATCTCCAAGCACTCTGTTGAAAAGGAGGAACTGTCCTTTGGAGGTGAGAGGCAGGGACCAGTCAATGCTGATAAAAGACTCGTGGGCCAAAGGTTGCCATTCTGTGTCAAGGACTGCTAGACCATTGACTTTGCTGTTCAAAAACATGCAAGCCATGCCGGCAAACGACTCACCAAATGCACCATTGTTAAATGGTAAATCGTGCTGTGTTCCAGCCACCAAGTTCCACGTTTCAGGGCCCGTCGATTCAAGCCAGTGTTTGATTGCCCTGGCCTTCTTCACGTCCAGCATCAAAGATCCAGCACCAGACACATAGCCCTGGGCAACGACTTCCCGAAAATTTAGAATGCTGAGAGAACATACTTCTTTATCGCAATCTTCCCATCCCCAATGGCATTGAGATATTGGTAACATTATCCAAAATTGATAACATTATCCAAAATATCCTTGAAACGTACAAATTAAATTTACTGACTTACAACTAGAAATTCTATATATATATATAATATAATATATATATATAATCAAAAACTGTACAGACTAGCACATCTATCAAGTTGCTGTCATCTTCCCCCCTTGCCCTTGGACTTCTGGATGCATATTGTACCGCTGCATGGCATCATCTAGCGTCACGGTGTCATCATTCTTGAACAAGGTTTGGAGCATCACGGCCCACTGGAATGAATTGATCGGCTGAACCTTCGCATCGGAATTTTGTTTGATGACTCGGCTGATCAGTGTGTCAACTGGGTCGTCAAAGCCTTGCTTGTAGATGGTGCCAATGTTCAACAATGACTGAAGCAAGGTTGCAACACCTGGGGCCCGGTACTCTTCCTCTTCGAATTCTGGACTCAAGGCTATCAGCCCAATCCAAGCCATGAAGCCAGCCAAAGTCTTTTGACTTCCGTCGTCAAAAAACAACACTCCTGCTTGCTGATGCTCGGTGGCCACCATGTCGATGTCGTCAGGCATTCGCATGGAAACCACTTCGCCCTGCAGAGAGAATCTTGCAGAGCAATGCTACAGTAGAAAACAAAATAAATACCATGCTACTGGCATTTGACAAACAAGATTTCTTTGAAAAGATTTGACAGGAAATCCAATCTGTTTTTTTTGATAAAAAACAACTTTTTTTAAGAAATAAAACGCCTTTACTCGGCCAGTTGCTCTCCAAAAATAGTTTCCACTAAGACAAAAAACATAATATGTTTCAAGTGTTGTTGTCACTGATTAAGATATTCTTCACTACGACAATTAAAATGAATCATGTGCATTTCAAAATTAAACTTAGACTTTTGATTTTGTAAGTATTTATGCTAAGAAGAATAGTGGTTTATCAAGCTTAATCTACATTATAATTAAGAGATAGAATGTCAGAATATATGCCAGATTTTTCTCTCAAAAAAATGCCAGAAATTGTCAGAATATATGTCAGTTGGTGAGGGGTTATCAAAAAGAGAAAAATATTAGATATGAAAATACATCATAGTAAAATAAAAATATCAGATATGATTCAGATAATAGGAAGTAGTATTTTTAAAGAAAAGAAAATATAAAAAAATCATAAGTTCACCGGAAGGCCTTTACCTAAGCATGATGGAGGGTGTGGCTCAACATGATTCACGCTTAGGTGTTCTGAGAACACCTAAGCGTGAGCAATCTTCAGGCTCCAGCCAGGGTACCCTGACCCTGGCCCCCCCCAGACAGGCCTAGGGTACCCGGGCTGGAGCCTGAAGATTGCTCACGCTTAGGTGTTCTCAGAACACCTAAGCGTGAATCATGTTGAGCCACACCCTCCATCATGCTTAGGTAAAGGCCTTCCGCTCTGCCCGTTTTTTTAATCCATAGAGTTTAGGGTTTAGGGTTTAGGGTTTAGGGTTTTGGTTCTCTCATAAAGCTTTATTGTTTCAATCAAAATAAGTATATCATATGAGAAAACTAAAGGTTCATTCATCGAAATAAATTTCAAATCTCATATTGTTTCAACAAAGTGTGAAGCTAAAATGATGATAGAGATTACTTGGGGAAATTAGGGATAGCAATGAAACAAGTACAGTCAAATTAGGTTATATAGATGATTGCAATGTGTAATTCTGATGAATGTAATCTAAATCAACACCCAATGCCTGGCTTAAAGCCTTTCCTTGGGTGAAAAAAATTGGCGCGCGCGCGCGAACCCAATGAAAACATGCAAACATTATCCGGGAGATCACCCACTGGGCTTTGTAGTGTTTGAAGAACGTATGATGTCCCAACACCGGCCTCCCGAAATCGGGACAAAGCAATACTGGCAGCAACATCAATCATCTCGCTCTGCGCACTGAAAGGGCCTCGCCAGAAACTGGCATCTCGCATGCTCCACATAAGGATTGAGGTGGTGAAGAACTCACCTGCCCTGGGCGGCCACGCCTAAGTAAATTGATATGAGCTGAAGCGGTGGGAATTGGACAGCCTAATCGGGCATGACGCTGGGAAAAAAACACTGCAAATCACGGAAAGACAATGAGGGCGGCACATGAAGTTTGGTGCAAGTCGTATTCAAATCTTCCAACGTGCTTCCCACTGCCATGACGCCTGCCTTCTGCAGCATCTCCAAACTTCGTTTCAACAATCGTTGTGGGTTGGACCAAACATCTTGGGCAATACTCCGAAAGGTCCCTGGTTTCACCTGGGGCCAGCCCTTCACCTCAGTTGGATCAGCATCTTGGCCATTGCCAGCGGTGCAATGACGCAACGCATGCACATCCTGTAGCCAATCCCTCAGCTTCAACTGGACCTTGCTGACTTCAGCCATGCTGGTTGCCGCTGGGGCTGGGGCGGCATATCGAGCTCTTTTTTTGGGCGGCATTGGGGCCACCCAAAGTCAGTAGACACCCGGTGGCCAAATTTGAGAGCTATAAGAGGAACCGGTGCCACTAAGCTTTTGTTTAATACAAGTTCAAGAAGCCATCAACTTCGCAACTGACAGCGTCGAAGCACTAAGACTGGTGGTTTGAAGAAAGCAAATTGAAAGCAACAGGTTGAAGAAATGTACATCAGTACGCTTCGGCCAACATTCTTGAACTTTTCCCCATGGTCCCTCAAGGGTAGCTACAGCTTTGCACAAAAACTGAACCCTATATCCTATGATGGGAGATCATCACAGGTCAGTTGCCCCGGACGGGTTCCAATTCGCCAGGAGGGTGATGAATGCAGCAACGCAAACAGGCACGGAGAACCTGGGGCAGCCGGTTTCGGCAATGGGTGTTCCTGCAATAAAAACATGGTATAGCAGGATTGTCACCCCCCAAGAAACAAAATAAGTTGAAATAATATTGACTCTAACAAATTCTTGGGCTAGGAGCGCGTCTCCTGCCATCCTTTTGATGGATCGCTGAACTGCCCGTTCCATCCCACTCCTCATGAAATCGACTTCAGAAACGCCCTGAAGGGCTGCATGCTCCTGCGTTGGGGTTTGATTGGAATAAACATGGGGTTTTACTGGGAGGGAACCATAACCTATCATAAATAACCTTGAAGAAATCCAACTAAATTTTCCGGGTAGCAAGTATAAACAAGTATATATGGGGGAATTGTTCAATGCTTTACAGTGGATTTACATATGTTCGCTTCAGGATAAAAAAACACATGGGGCTCCAAATAGATGGTGGAACATTTTTAATTGGGCCAGTCTTCCAGAAAAAGACAAATCATTTATTATAAGTACGATGTTCCCCCCATAATTTATGATATGTTTCGGTACTTGCCCCATGTTTACTAAACATCTATATGGGGGCACGAAAAGGGTTTGCAACCCTCATTCAAAGGACCATTACTCAATATAATATAATCTATTCTGCATCATGTTTTCAACCAGCACTTATCGAATCAAAAAATAACAATATATACAAAGATTTTCTACTAAGCATATTGTAACCGACTATTTTGCAAGAAATATTTTACAGCACTATATATAACGCCAAACTATATGGGATTATTGAATATGGATAAACGTAGTATATATGGGCAAGGCTTCGGGCACTCCAGGGCGCTCTATGTTGAAACATCATCATATATGTTTACCTTATGACATTTATAATGTCATATTGTATATTATAAGTTCATGTTGTTTCATGTCTTTTGATTGATGTTAAACAGATTGTGGCATCATGCCATCTGAAATGATATAAAATATCATATGAAATTGTTCGTTATCAACGATGTTTCATGGTGTATGAATGTGACAACAAATGCTGATAACAAGTATTTTTGTTGACACAGGATACCTCACATGTAAGAAGATACTAGTAAGCTATAGCTGATTGGTCCTTGACTCCTCAAGACCGGCCACAAACCTGGCCTGAGAATCCAACAGCCGCCATTTGGCGGTCAGCACGTACTTGCCGTTTGGAATGATGCAGCTGACGATCTGTGGGTTGGAGTGGACAAAGCGCTGTCTGGAAAAATTCTGGTCCTTGGGTGTTAGCCAGACCCATTTCCGTGAGAAAACATTCTGGATGACTCTTGAAATCATACTGATTCAGATTGAAAAGAAACGGCAAATCTTGTGTACGTTATACTGAGAAAAGGTCCACTTGAATTACCAATGGTGTCTTGAAGGGATCAAGCTGGTACTTCTGCTCCAGTTCCACGATAGTTGATGAGAGGATTGCCAGCTCACGCTCTTGAAGGGGCATGTTGAAGTCACGAATAGCTTTCAAAACAGACTCCACTCTTGCCTCAGCTGATGAAAAGTTAAATGAACCATTGCCTTTATCGATCGAACCAAGACAAGTTGATGTAACAAACTTGTTCTTTAGTTCTTCAAAATATTTAACAGGCTATACTGAGGTCAAGTTACTTTTCCCAATTCCTTTTTCACCTTCTCAAATGCCTTTCGCCATTTAGCTGTGCTGGAGACATGCCGGGGTGTAAAGGCTTCTGGATCCACATCCCACGCATCCCTGCCCCTGCTGACGTGCACGCACATGTCAAGGGGTACTGCTTGGCACTGAAATAGCCTCAGCAAAGAACAAGGCAGCTTGGGACGAATAGGTGAGGAGTAGAAATTTCAAATCTATATTTTTTTTTGGGGGGTTGCCAAAACCATTCTGTGTTCATGGACTGGAGTTCCTGAGAAGAAATGGTGGTCATGTTTGCACCACAAGGACATAGTGTTGGGAACAATGGACAAACCAAACATTACGTCAGATAAATGCCGAAGAACTTCATGTCAGATAGCATGGTGGCACTGTTGGTCTTGAGCTGGTCTTTTCGAATGTAAAGCATCCACACACGGTTCCGAGATTGTGGAAGGCCGTACTCGCAAGTATTTGCAAGAATGTAGCAACATACATAACCGTATTGGACCATCCTTTTGTTTTGCACATCTATTGGACGAGCTCCTCTGTCCTCCTTCCTTTTCTGCAACATCTGCCTAACATTCTCTAAGCCAACCATTGGTGGTCGGAAACGCTCAATGAATTTCATCACTGAATGATATCCTGACCCCGTTGCGGACTCAGCATCTTCGAAGGGCTGCGGGTTGGTGTTCAAGCTGCTCAGGCACACACACGGATATCCGGCAAGAAGGATGTCCACCTGTGCATGCGAGGTGTTGGATATACCCTAAGAGCGCATATGAATCACATAAACCAGGGCCACCATCCCTGCATTGAAAGCCTCAAATTCTTAAAACAATTGCCACTCAACAATCCACGACTAACGAACAGAAACCTTGCCTCTGGAACTGCCTTAACATTCCCAGTCAAGTAGTCGAGCCCATGCCCTTGCCACAAATCCTTCATGTCCTTGAAAATTGGTGTTGTCCTGAGGTGAACATATCCTGGGTAGGTGTACCTGAAAGTCAAAAGCTTCTGCCTGTCCGGCTGCTTCTCGCACATAAAGCTCGTTGTAACCTTGGGAGCCAGGGATCTAAAACAAATAGGGCAGGCATGGGCAGGCTCGATGTGTCAATTATATTTTTATGATGGCTATGATCTGATATGATGATTACAAGTTATATCAGCTGCAAAGCCTAGCAGCATCAACACGTAAATCGGGGAAGGTGTCATTCCAAAAGTGGCGGAAGGCCTCTGAGACCATCTCTGCTGTTCCCCATCCAGAACAGATCGACCCCACCCTGATGCGGCACCGGTTGTCTTTGACTGCCTTCATGGTGTCTTTCACACGTCCCCGCATCTCCTCGAAGCGGTCATGGGTCAAAGCTTCCAAAACGAAGTCGCCAACCTGAGCAAACAAGGACAGGGGAAGTACGACCAGGAGGAAAGGAGTGGAAAGGAACAATCTCAAACCCTTAAGGTACAGGAAAGGTAGAAAGTCGAAACTAAGATTGAAATAAGCATGACCACAATGCTTTCAAGTTAGCTTAGCTAAGTGTTAGTCTGACATCCCACTTATCATCATCATGATGTAATTCTGACCCATAGATCCCCCATTCGTAACCGAAATCAAAACACAGCTTTCAGCATCAAAATTGGAAGGGAAACGCCAGTACTCCCAGAAGTGAAGGCTGGTAAATCTGCTTGTTTCTCTGGACTTGCAGCAGTAAGTTCAACATCTTGACCATCTGCTCCATCGGAATCACTTTCTGGAAAAATATGGTCTGAAGAGGGAGACACTGCATCATGATCGGCACTGCTTGGCCTTATAGTCACTTGGAAGCACATTCTCGGGGATTGGGAATGAATACAACGCTTCTGATATGACATACAATTACGTCTGGCTTCAAGTGGTGTTCTACACAGCTACTACGTTCTCTTGGGTGGTGGAAAATTGCTAAGTTGAAGGCTTCCTGCGAACCACCGGAGATGAATCCGAGCTTTCCTCCAGGACGCCCGTCGCATCCGCAGGATCTTCACAAGTCCTGCCAGGAATGGATTGGCAGAATGACAAGGATTGCAACTACCCCAGCTGAAAACCAAAAAGGATGAGACGAGCACTTGCCGTCCCCAAGAACCCAGCTTAGGAAAAACAAAACCAAACCTCCAAATCATTCTCTTGATTCTCTTGTGTTGGTTTGCAAATTCAATTGCCATTACAGATTCTGTAACTGCAACCTGCGTACCTTTCAAATCATAGCTTCTTCTCACTCCTATATTAGCCTCAAAAACTGGGTGCTGAACGCAGCCAAGTAAACCCCACTCTCAAAGATATAAAGCCAGTGCATGCCAGTGATTCAGAAGTTGCCGGGGACACCCATGGGATTATCAGCTCTACTTTATTTTGCAATCCCCTACATTCCTAGACATAGCCCCCGCCCCTTCACACAGCTTTTTTACACGAGGCATCAGAAATAGTTTGGCTCAGTCAGCGCAGTCTATATCCCCTTCGTCACTGGAAACACTCTCTGACTCTGATCCATCAGGGTCCAAGCCCAAATCACAAGTCTTCACACGGTTGGGGATGACAAGTGTTCCTGGATGGGTTGGTAGGCCAGAGGAATCCCACCTATAGTTCAAAATTCCATACTGAGCAGGCCTCGGAATCTCAGGAAGCTGGCCCTGGCTCCAGCCCATCAAATATTCAAGTGCGTCATTTGAAATGTCTCCGTTTCTGAAACAAACTGGAGCTTGCCTCCAGATTCGTTTTTTAACTTTTGGTGAAATGACCCTCTTCGCAGCAACGCCCGCTGGGGCATGTGCCCGCTGCCGAATTTCAGCAGCTCTCACTTCCGGAACCAAACTGGCAACGGTGACAACTGACTTGTCTCCAAGCCAGCGCTTGGTGTACACTAAGACATCGCCTGCTGAACGGGGAAATCGATTTGGGAAATCCAAGATTCTCTCAGCGCCGTTCAGCGTGTCAGGTGCCAAATCTGCGCGGGTCAGAAAGCGAAAGTAGTGCACACGTCCTAGGCAAACTACGGTTGACGTGGGAACAATTGATAAAACCCCATGTGAAAGGTTAAGGGTATATAATTCACCTGCTGAATTTATGGACCAAAAACAAACCAGCCACAAGCGAAAACAAGGACTTGTGACTAGTCGTCTGTCAAGAATCTTAACCCTTTGAGTTTTACCCCAAGTTGGGATGTCCAGTCTTTCCAACAAGCTGTTTGGTCCAAAGCCTGAGCGAACACATTGTTGTTCCGAATTCGGTTTCGATGTCGGATGCCACTTCCACCATTGATCAGATCAAGCAAAGCCCCAGGATTGTCAAAGCCACCCCTTGCTATCAGGGAACTAATCTGACCAAAGGCTTGGTCTATGTCTTCATGACCTCGAGCTGGAACAATTCCCCTCCACAAAATCTTTTGGTGGGGTTTCCCTTCAAAGTTCTCATGACAAACAAGAACAATCAGGACTCAAATATATCAGATTCGCTGTGACCGGTCCTGAGGAATCCCAAGCAAGTTGCTCGGAATACCCCCAGGACCACCAGCAATATCATTGCTGCGCAAACGTACTGGTTTTTCCCCTCTCGGTAGCAATTGTCTTGCTGCAGGTGTAAGATCAATGGCAGCTTTGCATGCGTCTCCAAAAGGCTTGACAGGTTGAGGAAAAGAAGTTCGGCTTGAGTCACTGAATCTTTTTTGACATCTTCGTTTGCCACATGAAAGCTGAAACTGTGACCATGGATCAGCACTCCACTGCAGTGAAGGGTGGGCCTGTAAAGGACTTCCACATTTTTTGATGGTCTTGTTGTCAAGCGTGGACATCTGAACTTCGACTGGTCCATTCCGTCTATAATACAGCATAGTACCGACGATGCGGTTGCTGTAGCAAGCCTGATTTGTCATAACGCTGGAACAATATCTAATATATATATATGATATATGCCCAAATCCAATTACACACATCAGGGGGAAAAACAACTACAGTCATGGTTGTTGATCAAAACTGCCGAGGGACAAGGTCTCTGAAAAGCCAGCATTTCCTTATATACCCAAAACAGATTTGATAAACCCTGAACAAACCCTTGGGGGTGATCTTTTTTATATAAGACACTAGTCATGTATGTTACATGATATATTTGCCAAATAAAAGGAAATCTGCAAATCTTCATCTGAATGGAAGATGAGGGTCTAAACCACGCCTGAGAAAGCGTTCTTTGGTGCCAGTAGGTCTGTCTATCGACCCATTGGGAAAGAATATGGGCACTGTAAGTCTTGTATGCCCTTTGTCGATCTTCTTGTGTTCGTGCCCTGCTCATGTTCTTTTTCATCTTGCTGCACACATTGCACTCAGCATGTTCGCCCTTGTTCCGGAATTTCAGGTGGTCTTTGTAAGTAGCACGGAAGACAGTCATGAATGTGGACAAACAGCTAGGTGCTTCTCCGTTTGAAGTTGCATGCGCGACATACTCATTGTACACATCAATAGGTTTTCTGTGCTGTAAGTATCTGCGTGGCCCGGAAAAAGTTCCTGGACCCATGGAATCGAAATCGGGCATTTTGTGATAGGTTTCCAAACTCTGCAAGAAGGACTGCACGTAGCGAATCTGAAAATCCTCATCTTCATCATCTGACTGATTTTGAAAGCCTTCTTTCAGATAGCCACTTGGCATTTTGAACTTGGTAGGTAACACTTCAGCTTGTGAATGGTAAAGAAGCCAAAGAAAGGCCAAAACCTTTTGCCACTTGCTACGGTCAGTCATTCGCAGCGCACGACCTACCCCTGGGTGTTTTGGGAGTGGCTCTCGTTTCTGGAAAGCAGGCCTGCCCTGACGTACTCTTTCAATTGCACCAGCACCAATTTGCATCAACTGTTGGTGAGCTCTTTGGCAAACATATTTCCCTAAGAACTGAAGCTTCAGTTTGGAACGTCTTCCCTTGCGCTTGGTGTGGCCGGATGTCTCGGGGGCAGAGTCAGGGCCTGAATCAGATTGCACAAAAACCTCAGTAGTATTGTTCTCTTCAGTGGATGTCTCCTCAAAGCAGTCTGGCACTGGCTCAGAGTCACTCTCTGCAAAAATTTCACACCCGGCGGCACCATCATGAGGATCATCAGCTTTCATTCTTTTGTTGGGGAGGTTGTAGGTTTTGACCATCCAAGCCTCCTACAAAGGGGTCCAGGATAACCACACTTGCCACCCTTAACCCTCAAGAATTGTTTGTTATAAGTTATAGGCGATTATAGTGATTTAACATCTAATTTGAAATAATGATGCATGTACAAATAGTCTTACTTGGTTTCTCCTTGTCGCCATTCTCCAACATTTGGAATTCATCCCTGCAAGCTTGAATAGCATTCTCCATGCCGTCCAGCTGTGTGAAGCAGTCACCCTTCACACATCGACACCGGCGCTTCAGCAGTGAAGAGATCTCAGATAATTTGGAACCTGAAGTCTTGGAAGATGTTTGCTTCGCTCGACTGCTCCGGAGTTTGCTCCGGAGTTTGTGTTCTGCACCTTCTGAGTCGTCGTCCGACTCAGGGAAAATCATAGCGTGGCTTCAGCACATGGCTTGCAACATGCCGCCGAAAAATGCAAGCGACAGAACTTATGGATTATGTGAACTGATTCATTTGTTTATTTCGTTCATTGTGTAATAATGTTTTGTTCAATGATGTAATTACATAACATGTAGTGTCTACAGCATGCAACAAATAATCCCACTCACAACAGCTGAGATCTTTTCCAAATGAGTTTGAATTGGGCCGAACACTGCAATGAATCGGTGCGGTCAAGGAGCCATGGTAGGTTGCTCACAAACAAATGCACAATCAACACCATCCAATTTAGGAGTCATAGGTGACCAGTGCCCCTGTTCCCCATCAGTGCCAACCCACCAGCAGTCCTGGGTCCAGCGGCGCAGGCTGGACGCTTCAATGCAGCTGCAGGGCGACCACTGGCTGGCCGCTTCATAGGTTTTCTACCCTATCCACTTTCCAACCTTTGGCCCAAATGCTATGGCCATAAATTGGCACCAACTCCAAACTCCCTGGTTGAGCAAACCTCCACGGTTGAGTGAAATTCTTTTTATACTCTTTCTCTTCTACTCTTCTTTCTTCTAATCGTTCTCTTCTCCCTGCCTCTTCCCTGCTCTGCTTTTCATCTGTCCATATTGTCGGAAGTTTGACTTCTAAACTTCCTTCGAATATATGGATATGGCATGTCCCCAAGTGTTTTTAAGCATCCCAGAATCCCAGCGTTTCTTTTTTCCTCCGAGGTTCCGTTGCTGCAGGCTGCAAGTGATGCCAGCCGACCTTTTTGCAGAGTGCCACGGCGACCTGAGGCAAAGGCTGGGCTGCTGACAGGAAATGTCAAAGAACCTTTCAAGACTCAACGATTTGGAAATATTTGGAAATATCTATTGGGCATCCAAAGCATTTTGATGCTAGCTGCTAATATCACTTATTATGTATATCAATGTATGTGTACATACACACACACATATATATATATATATATATTTGCATACAAATGTATATATATATATACATGTGTGTGTGTGTGTCCTTATATGACCTATGCTTGTAAATCTCTGTTCAGTCACATCTGCAACCGGTTTCCGCCTCGTAGACGCAGCGCACTGGAGGCCGTAAGAAGGTGCGTGCATCCGCACCAGTCAAGGCCTAACCACTTCGCACATCTTGGCATTGGATCGATTGAAGTCAAGAAATGGCTGGGAATGATGATGAATTACGTGGTGTTGAGATGGACGGTAAATTGAAAGCTGGCACATTTTCATCCTTCATCCACTTGGGAAACTTGGGTCGAGATCATGGTTGAATATGTTGAATCTTCCCAGCCGCTGTGGACATCCCAGCCGCTGTGGACATCCCAGCCTCGTCTGCCAAGACCAGCTGCAACAAACTGCGTGTCTGCTGCCAGTTTCCCGTTGCAGGAAGTCGTCCTTGCCTGGGAAAACCATGGGGCGGTGCCCATCACCATCACTCTCTCAGTCGCCCAATAACAGCATCGACTCAGGCCCAAACAATGCAAAAGCAGTGACCACCTCGCAGAATGGAGGAAGAAAAGTGCCATATGCTGAGATAAACCCAACCAATTGGAGGTCCATTTGAATTCATTATCGTCCATTAAATAGATCAGAATAGGGGTTTAGACCCAATAACAAACCCCAAGTGGGAAGGATTTATTACCTCTTACCTCATTATGTGAATTTTATGTTTCCCAGTTTCTGGGACTCAGATGCAGTGATCTTCAAAGCGGCTAGCCAGGCAGTCACAACTTTCAGACCAAGGTGTGTCTCAATTTGGGCACTGATGATGCATGGACATGTTCAAATGTCTTTGCGTAACATTGCGCAACTATTCTTGAATCTGAAACCCAAATATCCCAAATATCCAAAATTGAAACTCTGGACTTCAAGCATGGCATGTGGTACAGCTGGCAGTACAATGACTATTCTCCCATGATGATCTCCGAATTTCCCAATGTACGGATCGCCCACAAACCGACCATTGGACCATTGGAATCCATGAAGACCATCTCCGAGGCCGCGCCTTGGCGTCGCCACGCGCATGCCCCAAGTCCACCTGACAGGGGTTTCCTGGTCCATCCTGGTCCTATTCCTGCGAAACTTGCTGGCGTAGCTGGCAATGGCAAATATCTTCTAGATTCTTTCCTACTTTCAGCTGCCTATATCTCGAAATCTTATGCAATGCTGAAAGAATCTAGAAGATACATGAAGATACCAAAAGACAATACGATCACATACTCGCAGCATCTATGGTCCTTCCATCGTCAAAAAGAAGTCGCAGCATCTATGACACCTCCAGGAACTCCTCCCGGGACGAAGTGGCCGGACACCATCCAGCAGTCAGAAGGCTTTGGTGTAGCCTCGAAACAGCTGTGGCTCCCGGGGTTCATCGATCTCCAACTTAAGGATCAAGGAACAAATGGGTCTGCATACCCTCCGGTCCTTTAATGTTGCGATAAAAAAACCGGCCCATTATAGAGGATTTACCAGACCATATGTACCTATTTGGTGATTGTTTCCATGGGTTTAATGGGGAAAAGACATGAAAAACGACCGCATTTCTAGGTGCAGAAATGTAGCCCATGTTCCATCCATTTTCCCCCCATGCCTCGCCGCCGCCGCCAGCTGTTGATTGGAGGAGGCTGACAGTCCTTCATCTGGAAAGTCGCACCTGGGTGGAGTGCTTCAATGGCGCTGGCAGCCTAGGAATTGGTGGCTTTTTGTTTTCGGGACATCCCAAGGAATCATCCCGAGATATCCTTGAGAAGTTACGAAGTTCTATGATTGAGTCATTGAGGATGATTCTTGAAAAACTCAGCCTCAACAAATGGTTGCGTTTTAGGTGCACGATCAATGCCAAGCTACGATGCCAACCCCAAAGGTCTGGGAAGCAGCTCCCCTGACGTCACCTTCGGCAGCGCTTCCAATGCTCGAAGTTCTGTGGCGAGTCCTAGTGGAATCAATGGAACAAACAAAGGCTGCGGCCCAGGCTGCGGACATCAGGTGGCCCAGCCACTTTTTTGGAGCAACAAAGGCAACGGTGCCAGAATCTGTACAAGGTCCGGATTCTACTCTTTTGGGGTAACATATTTTAAGACAACTCCATACACATATTGGATGTACATTTTGCACAATGAATACTGCCTGAAGTTCAGCTGTTTCACCATGTTTCACCCTATCGAAACAGGGTTTTACTGAGTCAATGGCAAAATCATTGCTGGAAATTACGAATATGTGAACCACCGGCAAAATGGCCAAATTTCTTTACTTCAAATGCAATGTCCAGGGGTTGAATGCCAACTTTCAGTCGGTTTTTCATGTCCCTTCTCCTCAGGGTCAGCGGTGAAAACTTGGTGAAAGCCTGGTTAAATGTCCAACACCTTAAGAAACACCTGGTGAAATTGGAAAACCTCATAAACATTTCTTCCATGAAACCCAGCAAGGTGCCCAGCAAGGTACCCGTCCTCTCAGCTGATCATCTGCACTCTCCAAGCCTCGTCTTGAGTCCCGTGGCACGTTCAATGGATCCATGGGGACAACTGACAACTTTCACATGGGGATATTATGTTCAGTGATGAATTTATGTGTTACGTATACTCAAAACGATGATGCTTTGACTACAATCTCCTCACCTAAGCAAAACCCCTTTGCATCGCACATTTCTAGGGGAAAGCAGTCTTCCAAATCCCTATGAAGGGCAAGTTCTATATCTCCCACTGGGTGATGGTTCAATCGCAAGTCATTGCCGATGGTTCATCATTGGGTTTGCCAAATGTATTAAGAGGTATCAACGGATACAATAAAAATAGCAAACTATGTTGACTTAAATTCATCAAAGGAGTACATCCCAGTTCAATAAATAAACCTAGTTAGTTGTTCGTTTTCATGGACAGCTATCAAAGGTGCGAGGATCGGACAGGTTTAAGGAATGCCATATTTTCCCGGACACCTCCCATATTTGAATGGTGAAAACCATGGTTTCCTTCAGAGTTTCCCTGAAAAAATCAAACGAATCAATTGAAGAGCAGAAAACATGATTCGAATCTCCCATGTTTCAGAAGCTGATTTCTCTGGATTTCTCCTTTGAGATCCATGTGAATCAACGGTCCCCGGGAATCTCCAAAAACCTCCGAAAAAAAATCGTTACTTCCGCCCAGCGGCGCAAAACCACCTGACTGAGGTCCATCTCCAAAGATGCCACCTGCATTCAGTTGGTGAACATAACTCCAATGTTACTATGGTTTATGGTACTACAACCTATAGTAACTTATAAATACTATTGGTGAACATAAATACCTATAGTTACTATGGTACTTTATAAATAATTATAGTTACTACCTGGTAGATATCCAAGAACTATTAGGCATAAATGGTACTTATAAATAACGAACTAGTTACTGAGGCGAATCTAAACCAACTTATAACTGGGGCCACATTGTATATATAACATTATGGGGCATGATTTGTTTCAAAACTTAGTCTCTTTAGTTTGGATTTCTGATTTTTTTAAAACTAGGTAATACTAAAAAAATATCGTATAGCAAACTAAATATGAACACTAACTCAATATATCTACTATAAGATGGAGATCTTATTGGGTGTTATAACCCTCCCCAGGATTCCATACCTACAATATATCTACAATACAATGTCCTTTTGATAGGATTTGATGGAATATAATTAACAATGGAGATATAATGGGCATATGATACTAGATATACCCTCTGGGGATCAAACAATATCTAACATAGTTATTATGCAATATCAATGAAACTGGCTGGATAGACAAGTAACCCCCAAAAAAGATAGACACGTAAAATCCGATTCTAAACAAATTGGGGAATTGAACTTTTGCTATCTTTTTGAGAGTTCAGATAGTCACCCTGAAGGAAACAAAATATGGGACGTTCAAACAAGGTAACCCTGAAAGTCAAATGACCCATTTTACCCCCTGGTAATGGTAATCCACAAGTAACCCAGGGGGAAAATGATCATTTGGATTTTCCGGTATATAAGCAAACAATGAAAAACACGCACGCACGCACACAGATAATCATATATATATATATTTAAATACATACATATGTATATACACACATATATACATGTATATATTCACATATACACAAATATATATATATATGCATATATATATAGTAGAATCATATATATATAATATGTAACACACACGCACACACGCATATTTTTTGTAATTATATTGCGCATACGTATTAAATACACATATGCCTACACAACTAAATGTCATCTATGATGTAAGAATCAAAGCGAACCATGTTTGGCGCGCACAAAAAATTAACACCACCCTCAAAGGCTAACTATGAAACAAAACACCTGCAAGATGCCTCGTTCACGAACTGTTCCGAGGTTGTTGCATAGTGATGTCCCAGTTGTGTGTCAACCTTGGGTTCCGGCTCCATGACGCTTGCACGAGATCATACGAGATCCGGGGGTCTTCAGAACAAATACTTACACAGGGAGGGGAGGAAACAACGAGAAACCTTCCCTTGACCGGGGACAACACATCTCACTTCCTTACCATCATCAACATGCAAACCACAATGGAGCTTTCTGGGTGAGCATTGAAAAGTTGTCCCTGAAAATCCGGGACCTTCGAAAATCATGGGGCCCAAGCAAGATAACCAGCTATACATAGCTATATAGGCTATACCCATGTATATATATATATATTTATATAGACCACCATGTCTATACCATGTTTACAACAAGAAAGAAGTGGATTCCTATGATCTTCATGGCGCCCTAACCTTGGAAACCCGGCCAGTTGCAGCAAGGCCAGAGCTTCAACGTCCACCTGTTCTGCTTCCTGCGCTTCCTTCAAGGTGATACCAATCTCCGCACGAACAGCACCTCGGGAAACGACGCTTTTTTGAAGCCAACGGCAAACGACCAGTTTTCACCTGAAGGGAAACCACGATACTGATAGGTACTGTTCATATATATATATATGACTAATTATCATATATACGCACACACACATGTATATATATATATATATATATATATAATATAGGTAAAATGATATGTGGACTAATTAATGATATATCTATGGCATTCGACATGGCATTCGCCACGAGCCGCTCACTCTTTGCCTGTCTGGAGGCTCCAGGCACAGCTGGCCCTTGTAGCTCTTTTCTGTCTCCTGCAGGACCTGGCCGAGGTCCACAAAGCTTTTGTTCGGCGCATTCATGGCACATTTATGGAAAATCTATGGGAAAGAACCGAGGAATTCCCATTCTCTTCACAAATCCATTCGCAAACGACTTTGCTAAGCTATTGAGCGGAAGTGCTTTTGCGATTGAGCGGAGCTGCGCTTCAGATTTTGTCAAACTGACTCACCAACTCCCATGCCACTCATCAATTCCACTGGTCTCCGTGGTTCCAATGGATCCTCCAAAAGATGGCTCAAATGGGCTACTTATTTGAAGCAGGAGCTTCGTGATAATACTCCCGTTTTCGTCAACAATTAATCGTTTAACTAAAATCTGGAGAGTTTTTTCCAACATTTTCCAACATATTATAACTGCAATGGATTGTGGTTCACTAACCCAAAAACAGGCCATTGTTTTATGGGAGAAATACCACCTCAAAGGTCCCCTGAGTTCGTTGCTGGGACTTCGGTGGCCTTAGCAAGGATTCCAGTGTTCAACCATATGCCAATACCCCATGTGGCATTCAAACAAAACACCAATACAGTAAATAGATATTAATATGTTCACATACATATGTATATATATATATATATAGAGTTGCAAATACATAAACAATAAATAAATAATATATATATATAATTAAATAAATAACTATAATTATATATATATATAATTATTATATAATTATTCAGAGTTCCAATGCCAAACAACAATTTCTCGCTTGGGGGATGCTGAGACCAGGGCCATCAGCTTCAACTTCTCTGCTGCCTGCAGCCGTCGTACAACGGGTATCGCCGTACCGCCGTTCTTTTTGGGCGCGCTGAACGGTGTGAATTTATCATAATTTATCCATGGAGAAATGGACGTGTCAACCCCGGATGAGACTAAACCATGGTTTACGAAAATTAGGGGGTCCAATAGTCATAATATGTCATAATCCAATACTTAAATGGTACCCCCCCAATTAACCAGCCGTTTGGGGTTATTAATCCAGGGTTGACATTATATATATATAATATGTATACCATTATCATACCCATAGAAGATGGAATTTACGGGGGTTGGTGGTTTTCCCAAATTTCAGTTCAAGAATCATGCCCAAGGAAAGACCCAATCTCCAACACTCGTATACCGTCCTTTCTGGCTACAAATCCGTGGGGGTCGTCCTCAGAGGTTGTTGGCTATAATATATTCTCCGCCAAATTAAAAACCTCCCGACATGATCCAGAACAAGTTGGTTTATAACCCCAATAACTTGGGTTTATGGTAGATATATTGATAATTAGCAGTGGTTTTAAACCAACTTATAACTGGGGGGAGCACCACCTTGTAGAAACCTCTAGAAGAGAAGCAAAACTATGACCTGAACCACTTGGGTAAGCCCCAACCTGGCTCAGAAGCAGTGAAGATGTAGCGCCCTCCGACCCTTGGATCGCTGCCTGTCATGACTCATGACGCATTGGATATGGTTCATGTATGGTTTGATCCAGCAATTTGAATCTCAATCTAGATTCGTAGATGTGCATTTCTCCAAACATGTGACTATGTATATGCATGAGTGCGTGTGCATGCATACATACATACATGCATGCATGCATGCATGCATGCATAACATAGCCTTTCACTACACTACATTGCATTACATAACATAACATTACATACATACATATAGACGCAAACAATATGTGCATATGAATTAATATCATCATCTCCAATCTTAAACTCCATGCATTTGTTTCAGCTACCCTTTGGTAAATTAACATAGACCCTGGCAGATAGGGGTTGGAAGACTAGTTTCCATTAAAAATTGGTGATTTTCAGGGTCTATGTTTATTTACCAGAGGGTAGTTGGTATACATCATGAAATACCCAATACATGGTCATGACACATCCCTAGCTATAGCAGAGAAACAATCCCATCCAAGGTCAATCCACTTACCGTCTGGTAATCAAACATGGCTACTGAACATCCCCCATTGAGTTCGATGTTTTTCCCATTTGGGGTTCCAATAGGGGGTTTAGGGGTTTTCCAGCCAGCCACATTTGATGACACCGGAGAGAATGATACTATCGTATGGGATAAAACCGCATGATGTATCAAGACCCCGGTACCCTTCTGTTCACACCAAAACAGCTGGTAGTTCTGGATGTTCATCCTATCAACAAATATCAAAATATTATATTGTTGATTAATGTTGATTATATGATGCCACCCATTCACATCCCAGTTAATATCCCACTTATATCCACTTGTGCCATATGCCACCCATTTTGGTTCATTAAATCCCATTCATAGGTTTTGAATGATTTTGATCTTTTTGATCCATCATATCCCAACTGAACTCCCACCTGTTTAAGGAGCTCCCTGATGTCTGCCATCGCACCATCCCGGTACAAACGTACCTGGGACGTGTGAATACCGCGTCTTGGACCGGAGTTTCTACCCTGAAAAAGGGGAACTTGGACTTCAGCAGTTGAATTTTGAAGATATCTTTGGATCATCTTCAACTTCCTGATGTGGACGCGGAGATGGATTCTATGGAGTATGAATATATATATAGTATAGTCATTACGCAGCTACGCATGATCATAGTACCAAGTGCATCAACCATTCCGTTTGGCTCCATGGATCCATCAGCGATCTGGGTCTCCATGCTCCATGGTGCCGTGACAAAAGCTGCTGCGGAATTCGCAACAGCGACGCCTCAAGAGCCAGCGATGCATCAACGTTTCAATTTTTTCAGGTGATACCCTCTGGTAAATTAACATAGACCCTGACAGATGGGGGTTGGAAGACTAGTTTCCATTGGAAATTGGTGATTTTCAGGGTTTATGTTTATTTACCAGAGGGTAATTTGAGTGAACTTTAGGGGACCAAAAACCTCAGCTGAGTGGACTTTGCCAAATTACGCACTGGGTAAATCCAATTTTTTTTTACCGAGGACCTTAGCACAATTGCAATTCGCACTTTTTGTTCCTTTTGCCGGTCATCTGGCAGACTTTTGCAGTCAAAGGTGCCTGGGAGTTGACTACCGCAAAGGGATACTGTAGCAACTCAACTTGGCAAGATAATGCAAGATTGCAGCACTGATTTTTCTATGTTGCCTATTCTTCGCTCGTGATTCATGGAATTTTTGGTTACCGCCTCATCAGTGCTGATCATCCACTTCTGGCAGTCATGAGCTGCCAAAAACATGCACTGTCAATCTTTTGCTTTGGCGCATTGGCACATCTGACTCCTTGGGCCGGAGACGTGTGCGCGGCACAGAGCAAGAAGTCGAAATTTGCGAGCAGTGGGAGCTTGAAACAGTGTGGCGCATGCAGATCCAGTTCTCGCATCAAATTGAATGTAATTTGTGGTTGGTGGTTTCCACTCACAGGTGCAACAAGATGCAGGTGAACAAATAAGTGCAACCACACACAGAGAGAGAGAGAGATATATATATACATACACATGTAACTATCTACATTTATATATATTCGAAGGAAATTTAGAAGTCAAACTTCCGACAATATGGACAGATGAAAAGCAGAGATGGGAAGAGTCAGAGAGAAGAGAAGAGCAGAAGAGAGAAGATCAGAGAAGAGAAAGAGTCAGAAGAAAGAAGATGCAGACGCGCGAAAAGGTAGGAAAGTCGCGGAAACACTGTTTTTCCAATGATTTGTGGCTCCGGGTCGAAAAGTAGGCTCGCTACAGCGGCGGGTGCGGAGCCATCTGGCCAAATGAGAGATGAAAAATTGCACGCCGCTGTGGCGCGAAGCACATTTCGAAGTCAAAATGCACAAAACACACCATCCTCGGAACGCTTTTGGAAGTTGAGATGTCGAAAAAGTGCACGCTGTTGTGGCGCGAAGCGCATTTCGAAGTGAAAATGTACAAAACACACCAGCTCCGGGCCACTTTTGGAAGTTCAGATGTCGTTTCGCCTGGCAGGCGCAAGGGATTGTGCAGCTTGTCAAAAGTGAGCAAAACGTGATGGTTTTGTAGCATTTCCAAAAACGATGGCAGGTGTGGGGCATTGGAAGAGGATCTGCAAAGATGCATTTTGCGTGGCAGGTGCTGTACAAGAGACATGTTCATCAGAGCTGTTAGGGGGTCCGGATATATTATATTATAAATATTAGATAGAAAGATTAATTAATTAGATAGATAGATAGATAGATAGATGGCTGATGGATGGATGGATGGATGGATGGATGGATGGATGGAAGGATGGATGGATGGATGGATGGATGGATGGATAGATAGATAGATAGATAGATAGAGAGAGACACACACACACATATATATATCATTCTATATATATAAATATCCATATATATATATATATATCCATATATATATATATCCATATATATATATATACATATACATGGCACTAGATACTGCAGAGATACATTGCTACTAAATCCGGCCCAGTATGTGCCCCCGTGACACCCACAGACTCAATCATAAATCCTCCAAGTTGCTCCTTCATCTCCCGGTGTCCGCGCCGGCGTTCCTGCTCCATTTCCTCTCTCCTTCTTTGCTCTCTGGCTGCTCCATATGCACGGACCTCTTCCTGAGTCAGCTGAGAACATGAAAAAAAACTGATGTGCCATGATGTGCCAACTTGTAGGGGTGAAACCTTTATGCCTGTGTTTCATTGTGTTCCCCCATTCCTCTGGCACAGTTTACCAACTCGTGCAAGCATCTTGCGAGCAAGCGAACATCCTGGGTGTCTCAAGCAGCTTCACTCTGCCTCCAACCTGCTCAAAAGCGAACTCTTCCATGTTGCTTCGCTGCTTTGATGGAGGCCGCAGTGTGCACACCAAAGTCAATAGAACTGAAATGGCTTGCCACAAAAACGATGCAACTCTCCCGTTCTACACTGGTACAATTTGGTACAAAAAGAGTCCTCAGCTCCAAGCTGCTCCAGGTTTGACATTTTCTTCCTGGAAAAAAGGTTCTAACGTAAATGGATCTTTGGGCAGTCTCATTCACATACTGTCAAGCGGCACTTGTTCGGCTCAGATTCTTTTAGTGGCAAGTGTTAACATTTTCTGGAATGGTAGGGAACATCTACAGCAAGCTCTTCGACTGGGTCACATCGCATCCCTCTGCGGCGAGCTGAATCTTTCTTCCACGAGTCCCTCTGCAGCGAGCTGCGGCGTGAAGGGTACACGCAGTGCAGACTTAAACATGTAGCGCATGCATGTCCAGCTGTTGGGTCGATAAAGTGTGGTTGATATCAACGGGGATCATCATTTTCAGCTGGGATGGATATTATCGATAATCAAAAGCATCCGACATCACCAGCCAGGAATAGCAGACTGACGTCTAACGGGCACCCCATTCATAGCTGCTTGGTAGTGACCATGTCACGGAGTGTTGTGTATATAAGTGTCGTGCAAGTACATATGAACACTGGATATCGAAAGTTTTGCTCTCCAATTTCTTGACTTTTCCGATAACAAACATGGGTCACATATGGTCACATTGCATCCCATGGAAGGACGCATCTTCCAAGACACGCCCCCCTCCAGCCATAGGCACCCTTGCAATATGAAAATGTACATGTTGTACATTGACATCTTGTCTTGCGCTCACTGGGTCACTGGGCCAATTGACGCCCGGGCAAATTGAATTGCTGGCTGGTGTTTTCATCCTAAAGCCGCCACAGGAACTTGCAGGTCACTTGGTCATCACCATTGCTGAACGGACATTTTACCTAAAACCACCAGCCAGGTGAGAGCTCATGAAGATTCAACCAACCGCACCTAGTGGTAACCCTTTTTCAACAATAGATAACAATAGATGCAAGCTTAACCAGCCCTTACTGCCTTATTGGTGGCTGGTAGTGAATCTCGATGAAGTTTAAAGTTGACTATGTCTCACCGACAACTGCCTGAGCCTGCCGAGATCTCCTCGCTCAGGCTGGCAGGACACTGAATGCGTCACACCCTGACTGGGTGACTGGCCACCGAAGTGGTCCCGGTTTTAGCAGGTTGCAGACTTCCAGACCGAGGCATGGAAGCCCTTCATGGGGCGTCCAGATTGTGAGCAGCTGATCTTGAAGGGACTATAGGAGTGCCGAACCACACTTATGCCAAATCTATCCGAATCTCAACCCTGCCATATTTTCAATCCGCATACATATGCATGCAGCACAACAAATGATCAAAGTCTTTGGTAACTGTCCCAATCTTTGAGTTTTGGAAACGGTTTGACCTGAAACTGTTTCCCAACTCGGCCGGACAGCCGCATGAACAGGATGCAGAACCTGAATGTTTCTGCAGCCAAAATTTCTATTCTATGTATGGAAATCTGGCAATCGTCCAGATGCCAACAATACCAAAGACAACGCAATGATAGGTCTGATAGGTTGCAGCGTCATTGTTTTGCAGAGCCAACGATCGCCACATAGGACTTACATATTGGGTAAGACACTGGGATGTCTGCACGAGATTGAGGCAACTACACCGGGGAAACGTATACAAATGCAAAAGTGGACTGCTCGCTTCGCTGCATGTGGCAACAACAAAGGCTTTTCGTGCGCGACTGCAGGTCAAAGATTCATTGACTGTTGGATAATTTTTTATCATTTCATGCCAAAAATGCGGAAAAAACTGAGGATTGCGAAGGGTAAGGGCTATGTGAAAATCCTGCACATGTTTGTCCCACAGCACCAGCGCATTGGGACACAGGCCACTGTGCTACCCCGGTCATTAGACTTTGACCTCACGGCTAATTAGTCACTGCTGGCTGAGCACTCAGCACTGGACGTGCTACATTCCGCGGCACCAGCAGAAAGGGGACAGGTTGCCGGACACATCTCAAATCTCCAAGATGAAAGGATATGAAAAGGCACAAAACACACATAACCCTTTAAAACGCTGCACTTTGAACTTGGAAACTCAATGTGGCAAATGCCTTGATAACTTCCGAAAAAACTGCCTGGCAAAGTGTGGCATGTTCTGCGCATGTGAGCGCGCATTCGTATTGTAACATCCCAAGCGCCATACGATACTAGCATCGGACGGCGAACACTGACTTAGTTGCAGGTTGCCTTTTATTTTCTGAATCCAAGGGTCTTCCTCTCACAGCTTCGTAATCTTGCACAAAAATTTGAAGGTGCTTGCACCTGGGTTACCTTGAACGAGAAACGGTACAATCATAACTTAACAGGTAGATCAGGCGATCGGAGGGGAAGATCCAAAGATCGGACTTTCGGCCAGGCTAGCAGCCAGGCTAGCGGCCAGGCTAGGTGTGGCCAGCACTCTTGAAGCTTTCACAACACAGGATGCATGCTTGTTGCTCACTTGGCCAGTCAGTTGGCAAACCTGAGATTTCCATAGCGTGTCATGAACGAAAGGAATATTTTTTGAGGACATCAGCAAAAACAAATGATGCATATATTTTATTCAACCGTGCAGAGCCAATCGAAGTAGGATGCTGCATCCGCTGTATTTGAAAATGCCTCCAAAAATTTCAGAATTGCCATCTTTGCGTCCCAAACAACCCAAAGCCTTGTGCGTGCACCAATTTTCCCATGAGCGGAGACGGATTACAAGAAGGGCCCGCCACGGGTACCATGCTGTATTTGGTCTTTGGAGGTTTACTCATGCCAATATGGAAACCCCTGAAGCAAATCAGGGCTGATGTAAATTAAAATGTTATATAATCGTCTTCGCCGTCTTCAGCTCCAATCAACTGCTTCAAGATGCCTCAACTGTATTTAGACATTGTTAGATTTTTGCTTTTGGGTGGGACAATGGGCCCCCTTAGAATTCCACAACTTGCAACTGACGCCATGGCACGGCAAAGCAAGCTTTGAGGTGAGGCCAGGCCGCTGAAAAAAGGTTTTCTTGACCGCACACTCGCAGGGCCGCTTGCCCTGGCTATCTTTCCTGAAAGGGCCAAGGGCCAGACTCAAAGGATCCTGCAACATAGACACCCAAATCCGCCCGCGCCTTCGTGAGGCATGGGATGATGGACCGATCCCATGTTCGCCCAGACCAAGGCGCCAAAAAGTACAGGACTGTGGTAATTTGCGCATTTTGCAGATTGGCCCCATATCGTCCAAATGCACCGTTTCGATCCAACATGTCCGCAAGACTTGGGGTCAACTTCGGCCAGCAAGGCCCCAACTTCGGCCCAACTTGGACCCACTTGGCCCCAACTTCGGCCCAGCTTGGCTCCAAGATGTCGCAGCCGGGCCTCAAGTTGGACACATTTGGGAGCAACTTTGGACCAAGTTGAGGTCCATATGGCTTCAACGTGGAGGACGCAGCCGGCCCAATGCGAAAACGTCAATGCCTGTTTTCACTGGTATTTTCCACTTCTTTTGCTATCGATGATAGCCCGCAAAAGTGGAGCAAAACTAAAAGATGTTGACAAAATAAACGCTCCGCCATGGAGCTAAAAATTCGTATCGATGACGCTTCGTTTGAAGCCATGTTCCCCATATATCTCCATTGGGCCCAACTTGGTGTGAAGCTGTCGGAAGAGGGTCCCAAGTTGCGCCACTTTTGGACGTGGCTTGGACTTCCATGTGCGTCACATGCCATCTTGCCAACATTGGGCCTGTCTTGGGCCCAACTTCGGCCACACAGCCAAGTTGCGCCATGTTGGGCCGCAGTTGGGCTCAAGTTGGGCACAAGTTCGAGTTCGGCGCAAGTTATGCCCAAGTTGGGCCCAAGTGGGCTCCTGTTCGGCCCAACTTAAGACCAAGGACGGCCAAGTTTGACCCCACTTGGCTTTTGGTTGGACCAAGTAGGCCCGCTTCTTTCCTCTCTGTCCTATTCTTTGGGCGCGGGCGGTTCTCATCGCGAAGCGACTCGAATAACAAATAGAACCTCGATGTAGCTCAAACATTCGGAAGCGATCATGGCAATGCTTCAAATCCGAGTCTCTGTTGTCTGTTCGCTCCGTGCTTCACCAGGAGCTGGTACATGCGCCAGTTGCCTTCACGCACTGCTGTGTGTAGGGGATAGGTGCGTTTGAACCCCCACCACGAACTTTGAGCGCTGTTCACATCTGGAAAGTGATGAGCGCCCAGAAAGTCTTGAATGTCTTGCAACCTCGGTATAGTGTTCTGCCGCTTGTTTGCCCCACAGCCCTAGCAACATGTCACATCACAACCAGCAAACGACAGTCTGCGTTGGCTTCCGAGTCTGGAGAAAACAGAAACGGAATATGGCCTGACTTGTGAAATTCTGCGCCAGCAGCCAATTGTGATTGACACCAGCTGGCCCGGCTCAACACATCATTTTCTGGTCAGCCGGAAAATTCAGGTAGGCACAAAAATCCGTGAGTTCATATCAAGTATAAACCGAGGCACATACACACACATATATAATATATATATATATATATATTGACGGTCTGAAACTTAGAATGTCCCGGTTTTTCCAAAATTTTTTACCCAGAAGATAGAACCTGACCCATTTCGGGGGGTTTTGGGAGCAACTTAGAATCACCCGTCATGATTTTTCTATATTTTGGGGAGCGTGGTTCTAAGTTTCAGTCCGTCAACACCAAAACCAGGCAATTTTCCCAATTTTTTGACTTGCACGAGTTTGACAAAAACATGTCAACACCAAAAGTTTGAGAAAAAAAACATGTCAACACCAAAACTAGTCAATTTTCCACATTTTTTGACTTGCACGAGTTTGAGAAAAACATGTCAACACAAAAAGTTGGAGAAAAAACATGTCAACACCAAAACTAGTCAATTTTCCACATATTTTGGGCTCCAGGAGTTTGAGAAAAACATGTCAACACCAAAACTAGTCAATTTTCACCATTTTTTGGATTCCAGGAGTTTGAGAAAAACATGTCAACACCAAAACTAGTCAATTTTCACCATTTTTTGGATTCCAGGAGTTTGAGACAAAAACATGTCAACACCAAAACTAGTCAATTTTCACCATTTTTGGATTCCAGGAGTTTGAGAAAAACATGTCAACACCAAAACTAGTCAATTTTCACCATTTTTTGGATTCCAGGAGTTTGAGGAAAAAACATGTCAACACCAAAACTAGTCAATTTTCCCCATGGTTCTAAGTTTCAGTCCGTCAACACCAAAACTAGTCAAATTTCCACTTTTTTTGGATTCCAGGAGTTTGAGAAAAACATGTCAACACCAAAACTAGTCAATCTTCACCATTTTTTGGATTCCAGGAGTTGAGAAAGAAACATGTCAACACCAAAGCTAGTCAATTTTCCACATATTTTGGATTCCAGAAGTTTGAGAAAAACATGTCAACACCAAAACTAGGCAATTTTCCCCATGGTTCTAAGTTTCAGTCCGTCAACACCAAAACTAGTCAATTTTCCCAATTTTTTGACTTGCACGAGTTTGAGAAAAACATGTCAACACCAAAAGTTTGAGAAAAAAACATGTCAACACCAAAACTAGTAAATTTTCCCCATGTTTTGACTTGCACGAGTTTGAGAAAAACATGTCAACACAAAAAGTTTGAGAAAAAACATGTCAACAGCAAAACTAGTACATTTTCACCATGTTTTGACTTGCACGAGTTTGAGAAAAACATGTCAACACCAAAACTAGTCAATTTTCCTCATTTTTTGGATTCCAGGAGTTTGAGAAAAACATGTCAACACCAAAAAGTAGTCAATTTTCACAATTTTTTGGGTTCCAGGAGTTTGAGAACAAACATGTCAACACCAAAACTAGTCAATTTTCACCATTTTTTGGATTCCAGGAGTTTGAGACAAAAACATGTCAACACCAAAACTAGTCAATTTTCACCATTTTTGGATTCCAGGAGTTTGAGAAAAACATGTCAACACCAAAACTAGTCAATTTTCACCATTTTTTGGATTCCAGGAGTTTGAGGAAAAAACATGTCAACACCAAAACTAGTCAATTTTCCCCATGGTTCTAAGTTTCAGTCCGTCAACACCAAAACTAGTCAAATTTCCACTTTTTTTGGATTCCAGGAGTTTGAGAAAAACATGTCAACACCAAAACTAAACAATTTTGACAATTTTTTTGGATTCCAGGAGTTGAGAAAGAAACACCAAAGCTAGTCAATTTTCCACATATTTTGGATTCCAGAAGTTTGAGAAAAACATGTCAACACCAAAACTAGGCAATTTTCCCCATGGTTCTAAGTTTCAGTCCGTCAACACCAAAACTAGTCAATTTTCTCAATTTTTTGACTTGCACGAGTTTGAGAAAAACATGTCAACACCAAAAGTTTGAGAAAAAACATGTCATAACCAAAACTAGTAAATTTTCCCCATTTTTTGACTTGCACAAGTTTGAGAAAAACATGTCAACACCAAAAGTTGGAGAAAAAACATGTCAACACCAAAACTAGTCAATTTTCCACATTTTTTGACTTGCACGAGTTTGAGAAAAACATGTCAACACCAAAACTAGTCAATTTTCACCATTTTTTGGATTCCAGGAGTTTGAGAAAAACATGTCAACATCAAAACTAGTCAATTTTCACCATTTTTTGGATTCCAGGAGTTTGAGAAAAACATGTCAACACCAAAACTATCCAAAACTACTCAATTTTCACCATTTTTGGATTCCAGGAGTTTGAGAAAAACATGTCAACACCAAAACTAGTTAATTTTCACCATTTTTTGGATTCCAGGAGTTTGAGAAAAACATGTCAACACCAAAACTAGTCAATTTTCCACTTTTTTTGGATTCCAGGAGTTTGAGAAAAAACGTGTGAACACCAAAACTAGTCAATTTTCCCCATTTTTTGGACTCCAGGAGTTGAGAAAGAAACATGTCAGCACCAAAGCTAGTCAATTTTCCACATATTTTGGGCTCCAGGAGTTTGAGAAAAACATGTCAACACCAAAACTAGACAATTTTCCCCATGGTTCTAAGTTGCAGTCCGTCAACACCAAAACAAATAAATTTTCACATTTTTTTGACTTGCACGAGTTTGAGAAAAACATGTCAACACCAAGAGTTTGAGAAAAAAAACATGTCAACACCAAAACTAGTCAATTTTCACCATTTTTTGGATTCCAGGAGTTTGAGAAAAACATGTCAACACCAAAACTAGTCAATTTTCACCATTTTTTTGGATTCCAGGAGTTTGAGAAAAAGCATGTCAACACCAAAACTAGTCAATTTTCACCATTTTTTGGATTCCAATGCAGTTGAACGGTCCAAAAAAAGCAGGACCAAACAAGAAATTCTTAATCAGACCTAATCCTTGCAATTGCTGTCTGCAATTTGCATGCATGTTTTACCTTGTCATGCCTTCATCCACCTTTCTGACTGTGCAAATAGAAACGGCAAGGGGCGGTTGCGAGTTTGGCCATGCTTTCTGACAACAAACAAGCACATTCATGTGGCAAACCATGGCAAACCCAAGAATAAACCTATCATTTGGGGATGCTTTATACAGTGACATGTACCACCCATTTATGATGATTTTAGGTAGAATCTTTCGTTCAATCCATCAAACAACACATCATATTACTCAGCTAGTTTTACGGGTACTTTTCGGGTAAAAAACTGCGAGAGGGTAGTCATTTTTGGCTCTCCGAGCACCATTTTTCGTAGTGGTTCTAAGTTCTGATTACCGTGAACAGTTTCGCAAAACGTAAAAATATCATAATTTTTTTAATCAATTTTACCCAAATCTGAGCGGGTAGTTCCGGGTACTTTTTCGGGGTATGGAAAATTTCCAAAACGAGGTTCTAAGTTTCAGTCCGTCAATATATATATATATATACACATACGCTTTGTCAGCAAACAAGCGCCCAGTATCTCCCAGCCACAAATCCGCCAAGTTGCTCCTTCTGGGTGCGGTGCCGGCGCCGGCGTTCCTGCTCCATTTCCTCTCTCTTTCTTTGCTCTCTGGCCGCTCCATATGCACGGACTTCTTCCTGAGTCAGCTGAGAACATGGAAAAAAAAAACTGATGTGCCATGATGTGCCAAATTGTAGGGGTGAAACCTTCATGCCTGTGTTGCCCCATTCCTCTGGCACAGTTTACCAACTCGTGCAAGCATCTTGCGAGCAAACGAACATCTTGGGTGTCTCGAGCAGCTTCACTCTGCCTCCAACCTGCTCAAAAGCGAACTCTTCCATGTTGCTTCGCTGCTTTGATGGAGGCCGCAGTGTGCACACCAAAATCAGAAGCACTGAAATGGCTCTGGGCACTTACCACAAGAACGATGCAACACTCTCCCAATTGCTCATAGCTCCAAGTTTGACATCTTCATGCGTCAAGCAAGAAAGTGGCTGATTCAACGAAACTGGATCTTTGGCGAGTGGCACATGTCGAACGATATCTATGACAATGACTGCAAAATCTTTTTGGCACAGCGCATCCCGTTTTAAATCGCTGACATTTCCAAGGCCAGTTGCAGTATGTTATACAGTGGTTCGTTACCCTCTGGCAATGTAACATAGCTATAGAAAATGGCCCATAGAAATAGTTGATCTACCCTTTTTTAAAGATGGTTATTTTCCAGTTCGCAAACTGTTAGTTTACCAGAGGGTATTCATGTTATGAGCTCAACTGGCTCCATTACTATCTGCCATGCATCTGAGGCTCCCAGCCAACCGCTCCGGCCAAGTTCGGCAACATTCTCCGCGGCTGGTGCCCAGGGCCACAAAGGACCTTGGAGACCAGCGACCAAGTGATCCAAGGGTCAGTTTTCGCTATGATACTTTTAGTGAAAATGGCAATTCCCAGACTTAGAAGTCTAGTCGAAGGAAGTTTAGAAGTCAAACTTCCGACAATATTGACAGATGGACAAGCAGAGGTGGGAAGAGTCAGAGAAGAGAAGAGAAGAGAAGAGAAGAGAAGGGAAGAGAAGAGAAGAGAAGAGAAGAGAAGAGAAGAGACGAGACGAGACGAGACGAGACGAGAAGAGAAGAGAAGAGAGAAGATCAGAGAAGAGAAAGAGTCAGAGGAAAGAAGATGCAGGTGCGCGAAAGGTAGAAAAGTCGCGATTCACTGCGTTTTTCCAATGATTTGTGGCTCCGGAGGGTCGAAAAGTAGGCTCGCTAAAGCGGCGGGTGCGGAGCCATTTATTTGTCCAGATGAGAGATGAAAAATTGCACGCCGTTGTGGCGCCAAGCACATTTCGAAGTCAACATGTACAAAAAACACACTAGCTTTGGACCACTTTTGGAAGTTGACATGTCGAAAAAGTGCACGCCGCTGTGGCGCAAAGCACATTTCCAAGTCACGCCACATGCTTGGACCACTTTTGAAGGTTCAGATGTGGTTTTGCGTGGCAGGAGCAAGGGATTGTGCACCTTGTTAAAAATGAGAAATTTTGTCGCAAATGGCAGGCGTGGGACATTTGAAGAGGATCTGCAAAGATGCATTTCGCGTGGCAGGCGCCGTACAAGAGACATGTTCATTAGAGATGTTAGGACTGTTAGGAGGTCCGGGCGCTGATTTCCTGAGAGAGGTTGCATTTTGGAGCATCAGATCTTCAGTTTTGGGAAGATGAAATTTCGTGTGACAGGTGCAGCACTTTGTATGACCTGGCATCACTTTTCGTGGCAGGCGCAATACTTTAGAGACATGGACTGGAAAAATTGCAAAACGCATTGGCACGAGGCCTCAGCTCTGCACTCAACTTTCTCGCAGAATTGCTTCCTTTTTGATGTTGCCAACTTCACAAATTGAGGAAGTCTCGCAGAATTGCTTCCTTTTTGATGTTGCCAACTTCACAAATTGAGGAAGTCTCGCAGAATTGCTTCCTTTTTGATGTTGCCAACTTCACAAATTGAGGAAGTCTCGCAGAATTGCTTCCTTTTTGATGTTGCCAACTTCACAAATTGAGGAAGTCTCGCAGAATTGCTTCCTTTTTGATGTTGCCAACTTCACAAATTGAGGAAGTCTCGCAGAATTGCTTCCTTTTTGATGTTGCCAACTTCACAAATTGAGGAAGTCTCGCAGAATTGCTTCCTTTTTGATGTTGCCAACTTCACAAATTGAGGAAGTCTCGCAGAATTGCTTCCTTTTTGATGTTGCCAACTTCACAAATTGAGGAAGTCTCGCAGAATTGCTTCCTTTTTGATGTTGCCAACTTCACAAATTGAGGAAGTCTCGCAGAATTGCTTCCTTTTTGATGTTGCCAACTTCACAAATTGAGGAAGTCTCGCAGAATTGCTTCCTTTTCGATGTTGCCAACTTCACAAATTGAGGAAGTCTCGCAGAATTGCTTCCTTTTTGATGTTGCCAACTTCACAAATTGAGGAAGTCTCGCAGAATTGCTTCGTTTTTGATGTTGCCAACTTCACAAATTGAGGAAGTCTCGCAGAATTGCTTCCTTTTTGATGTTGCCAACTTCACAAATTGAGGAAGTCTCGCAGAATTGCTTCCTTTTTGATGTTGCCAACTTCACAAATTGAGGAAGTCTCGCAGAATTGCTTCCTTTTTGATGTTGCCAACTTCACAAATTGAGGAAGTCTCGCAGAATTGCTTCCTTTTTGATGTTGCCAACTTCACAAATTGAGGAAGTCTCGCAGAATAGCTTCGTTTTCAAGCTTGCAGCTAGATAGATAGATAGATAGATAGACAGACTACTACAACTACAACTACAACTACAACGACCACTACACTACACTACACTATAACTAAATGCAACTGCGCCACATTACACAACACTACACTACACTAATTACATGGCATTACACTACAACTGCAACTACAACCGCAAGTGCAACTACAACTACTACTACATTACGTATTACGCTACACAAATTGCACCACACTACAACTACAACTACACTACTTTACACTACACTATGCCAGCCTATATACACTACACTATACCACACTACAGTATGCAACACTACAGTACACTACACTACACTAATTACGCCACACCAAAACTACAACTGCAACTGCGCTAATTACATTACATTACAAGTGCAATCCCCACTACACTACAACTACAACTACAACTGCACTACACCACACTACATCCAGCAGTTGTGGTGAGGTGACCACTGCAACCATTGCAACCACTCCAAAAAACACAGCTCCAACCACCTTTCGGTCCATCTGTGGATTCGCTCTGCCATCCGTGATTCACAACAGCCAACCTCTCCTATAGGTTTCCTATCTTTGAAACTTCCGCCACCGCACAAGGCGGTACTACAGGTAGGTATGAACAACTATACTTATAATTAGCATATTTATACCCAGATGTCAGTTGATGGGGTTAAAAAATGGTGTAACAGGGGAAAAATACATGGGAATATCATGGAAGATTCATGGGATATTCCATGGAATATCAGAAATCAGCTCCATGGCTGGCAATCCTTGGACTTTCCCAGCGAACGAAACAACAATGCTCAGGGATTCCCAGCAAGTCATGGAGCTGATTGCCTTACGATATTCATGGTAAGCCGTTGATAAACCATCTGCAATTGTGATATGAATATAATTAGCCGATTTATCTTGTTGAATTAAAACATGATTCACTAACCTGAAAATAGCCGTTATCATACGACCGTTTGGGTATGATTCGCCTTACTAAGCATCATTCTAGCTTGTAACTCACCCAGATTTGATGTATCTTCATTATACCCCGCTATATCTCCATTGTACTTTTTGCTTCCTATACCATCCGATTTGATCATGCTGGAAAATCACCCAGCTGTCCCCATTACACCGCTATTCACTTCAGGGATTTCCCAGCTAGCCACATTTCATTACCGGAGGGTAAATGGTGACCCCCTCAGTTCATCCAAGACGGCCTCCGCTAAAGCAGAACAGAACAAGGACATGATATGAAGATATATATAAGGTTCACACATCGGACTCTTGGTGAACAACACCATAAATTCATAGATCCTACATGATCCTACTAAACTGTACATACTTACAGTACTCTACTTGCCAACATCATTGGTGCTCTGCGCTGGGGTTCCCAGACTGGAGGGTCACACCAAGATCACCCAGCTTTCTGAGGGCATCTAGCCTTGGAAAAGGCCATAAAGTCCATGGCTTTTTCTAGGAAGATCAACGGTCATTGGGTTGGTTTCTTGGGAAAATTGCCAGAAACCCATGTGTTTTTCATGTTTTTCCATGACATATATCCGATGTTCGACATTCATGTGAAATGACTCGGGTATAGTCCCAGACTTCAACTGCGGACATCGACTTGCTTTAGGAGAAAAACTACCGGTTCTACCCTCCGGTAATATGAACACAAGACCATGCGGGGGCTCCTGTTTCATGGGATTGGTTTAAAGGAAAAATAACAGGACATTCTCATATTTCATATCATCATGTTGGCGAAGGATATGTCAGGCTGTTCTTTTCAGGTCCTCCGGTGCTGGTCCGCGCCTCCTCTGCTGTTCAGTAAGACGCTGTTCGTTGGCACGTTCCACCTGGACATCGAGGGAAATTCATGGACGTTGAGAAAACATCTTGACATCGATCTGTTGTATAAATTACTGTATTTCACTAACCTGAAATATATAAGGTCATTTGGGGATTTCCCCATACTAATCATTCCAATGAGGAAGATCAGTGAGATCGCTATAATTTACCGAGAGATTATAAAGTAACCGTGTACCCTCGGGTAACTGGCCGGTGATTTTCGATAGCTACGTTAGTTTACCAGAGGGTAAGCTCCAAAAAGAGATAAAAGTACAATCCCACTGAGTTGTGATGAATTACTTCTCTATCTTTTTTAGGAATATTACTATGTGATACTATATGTAACGGTGCCTTTCCGTTGCTCAACTCTCCCTTTTCGTCGCTCATTTTAGCCACCAGTTTGTAGTGGTAACTCCGCATCCCCCAACTTTTATCTAAACCCCAAATGTAAATGTGGTTTCACCCCTTACATCCACCATGGTTTCTTGGGTGCGTCTTTTATATGAACAGGGGAAGGGATTAGATAATTGATGGTTACTGGATGGTTCATGGACACCATGTGTTACTTGGAAGTGCAGTTCCAATCCAGTTGTGGATATAGATAAATAAGTAACTAAGTAAATAAATAATTATAGATAAAAATAGGAATAAATATAATTTTAAATAAATAAAATTATATATATATAATTATATATTCATATCCACATATGTCACCATAGTGATAGCGTATCCC